AACATGCCAATAGCCACAAGGCCAAGGATATAAAATATAAAAAGGAAAAAGGAAATAAAATACAGATAAAGAAGCGGCAAGGCAGTGGCGTGTAGGTGGGGATAAGCGATCACAGTCTCGTCACAGTATGATCACAGTCTCATCACAGTCTGATCACGGTCCCACGCGTTGGAAGGAGGCGAATCCTGAACCAGGAGGCGAACGGGAATCACGGGGCTCCAAATCCGGTCTCGGTCAATGCAACGGCCTGCAACACGACCTCGCCGAGCCGACCTGCCCTCCGCCATGCACATGCAGCACGCTTCCCCTGTCCTTTTTTCCGCTTCCAGCCATGCCGGCACTCCCCCCAGTGTTGCCCCGCTCTCCGGGACCAAGAGCCACTCAAACACTACATAAACATTTTGGCTAACATATGTATCTGAAAATAAATCACCTAGGCAACATAGGTTGGACGAAATACCCATATCGATGTTCTACTTGTCAACGTCACCGATTGGTTCTCCTTTCTGGTATCCCTCTTCTTGCATGCATTGCCGTCAAGTGAACGTAAGTTTTCATCTGTCTTATTGAATATTTCTTCAAGTACGAGGGAATGGTAAAGTATCTGAAACCATGACCCTTGCAAATGTGGCATTTTATATTGTTTCCACTAATTTTTTCTATTGCTCCTCATACGCTCAAGCAGAACATGGTAGTTTCCTTCTGCTTTCCAGCAATAAGGACATTTATATTCCTAATTTCTCATTCTCCTTTTATATGTGCCGAGGCGAAATATAACTAGAGTTCTTCTATCCCTTTCTGAGACGTTCTCTAAATGTTTTGCCATATCAGGAACTTCTTTTACGCCTATGTGCCTGTACAACATTCTATGCTGCTTAATTATATCGTACTTTTTCTGAAATTCAATACCAACTATCCTTCTATTTGTTGCCAGCCGAAACAACGATCCTCCTCGGCTATACCTCCAAGAGAAGGACATTCCAATCCCTATTAATAAGTTGAATCCCCTGCAGTTCTTTCCTTCCAGTCCCTATTTTCCCTATTCCTGGATGACAGCCGTTACAAAGAAAAAAAATTGGAATTTATTTTTTTCCTATACAGGTATTTTATTGGTCCATATGTTTTTCTAAGGAGATCCTCCCTAGCTCCCATTTCGCAGTTACTGAGCTTGCACTTTTGGAGAGAGCTAGTGTCCCTCTTGAAAACGTCATATTTTAAATCAAATCAGCTTAATGTTGTTGGGTCCCCGTTTCAGCTCTGTAAAGTATTCCAGGGAGTAACAGCAGGTCTATCAGCTTCAGTGCATGAGATACTTGCTCAATCAATTTAAATTCTTTTGCAGCGACGTTAGCTGTATACATAACTGTTTACCTTCATTATGCATAGCTTCTCTCATTTTTTCCCATGAACCAGTTCTAGAAAAGATCACACCGAAATATCTATATTCACCAGCTAGTTCTAATTTCTGTCCCCTGTAATACCACCTCTCTGTTCTCTTTAATGGTCCTATTTTCTTGAAGACCATAACTTCTCCTTCTTTCGACATTTATTTCCATCTTAATTTGCCACAGAAGCTCTCCAGAGTTTGAAGCATCCTTTTATTCCTAACAAAGTTAGAGAAAGCAGAATCATATCGTCTGCATACGGATTTCCACCTCATTCAGGCTAGGTTCATGATGCGTGGTTGGCAATATCTCTTCTTTTAAATAATTGATATATGTAATTCATAAAACAGATTTAAGTTGATAACTCTGTTTAACTCTTCACTGGAGCGGACGAACTGGACTTCATCTTTCAGCCAGATCAGCCCAACAATTAGTTTGAAAACACGCCAGCGATCAGTTTAACACCCATATCCTTCTGGCAAGCATAAAGCATTTTGTTCCCCTCTATCTCCATCCTATAAATTGTGTATTTTATTAAAGATTTTCCCCCGTCCGACATGCAATGGGATGGCACCATTGGGGGGGTGGGGGGCTGTTATTGCTTACATGATAAGGGTAAGAGGCTACCGTCCCGCGCCAGAGGTTGCCAGCCCTTTTCCTGTCGTCTTTTCCGCCCCGCCCCTGAGGGAGGAGTGGTTTAACCATGCAAATGAGTGGGTGTATACTATTGATGCGGGTATATATTCTTATTTGGCTCGATATGGATCGGTGACGGGGATGTGTATTCTTTCCCATTTGAGTTCATTTTTCTTTTTCACATGCAGGGTCTCAATTGATTAATGAGATGGAGATCGGAGTTTCGTAATAGGAGGGAAATCAAACCCATAAATAAATCCACTCTATATCATATTTCTTACGTTCATGTGACTTGCAGATGCAGGTGAACTTCTCTAGAACTGGTTCATGGGACTAAATGAGAGAAGCTATGCATAATGAAGGTAAACGGTTATGGATACAGCTAATGTCGCTAAAAGGGCTGAATATCCTCGAGCCAAAAATATCCCAGCGTGAGTTTGCGGATCCACGTGAAACCATTATACCCGCAGAATTCGATTTTTCCGCTCCGACAATCCCGCCGATTCCAAGATCATCCGAATCCGCCTGAAAATTCGAGTCTCCTTAGATTAGTCCTCATTACGCGCGAAAAAAAAACGAGGAACAAGTGGGTTTGCTGGGAACAAGAGGGAATTTCGCTTCCAAAACGGCGAAAGCGAGAGAGGAAGGGAGCCAGGACCGGACCGTATCGACATGGGGCTTCCGCTGGAAGGCGGCCAAATTATTATCTTAACGTGACAGCAGGAGAGAAAATTCTTCCCATTACATTCATGTCTTCGGCAGGGGGAAACGATGATCCCGGAATTGGGTGCGAGTAATAACGCTTCCGATTTCCCGAGATCCCCCCCCCCCCTAAGGGTGGAAAAATTCGACTGGGGTAATCCCCAGGCCGGAAGAGACGCACGGGAATGATGCCCTTCCTCAAGGGCACGCCGACCGTGACGTCAATGATGGCTTCTCGGAAGAGCAGCGGAGAAAAAGAAAGGAACGGCGGACCGGCCACACCGGTCCGGCGAGGCCTCGGGGTATTTCCCTTTCTATCGCGAGGAATAGGATCCGAGAGGGGAAATCCCCACCTGGTCTAAGACCCAGCGCGACGACAGGGTCGGGGATCTCCCCTCCCCCCCCCCATCTGTCCCTTTAAATACCGCCTCCGTCCTCCCTTCGACCACCAGACAAACTCTGAGCTTCTTCAGCCTCCAAGCCTCCTCCTCTCGAGTCTTGCCTCGTGCGACTTCGTCGTCCACTCTCGCATATCATCATGAAGTGCCTGCTGGTGAGTCTTTCTATGCTTCGCCCGGTTCTCATTACGGCCTCCACTTTTTGCTCTATTTGAGCGTTCTCTGGGATAGATAGTTTAAGAGAACTCTTCGTAGCCTTCAATATGAATCTGCTTGAGCTTTCCCATATTCGATAGTCAAGCAATACGAAACTCGAAAATAGTGTTATGTACAAAAACTCGTTTTATCTAAGCTCATTTCCCCCTCAATCATATCAATAAATCAGAAGCTCTACGTGTAATCAGCCCTACTCATTCCACTTGTATGAATTATTCACAAGTATCTACTTTTATTTCAGGTCGTTGCCGTTATCTTGGGAGTCGTTTGCCTCAGCTCCGCCTTCCCCTACGCCTATCCCAATTTTGGCGTTGGTGGGGGCTCCGTTGGGGGCGCCTACGGCGGATCCTTCGGGGGTAGCAATCCCTTTGGGGGCAGCTACGGTGGGAACTACGGTGGAGGGTTCGGTGCCACCCAGGGAGGACTGGGTGGGTTCGGTGGAGCCGGTGGAAGCAGCTACGGCGGGGGATACGGCGGAAGCTTCGGTGGTAGCAATCCCTTTGGAGGCAGCTACGGTGGCAACTACGGAGGTATGATGAGATGCCTCTCCTCGGAATTCCATCGAGGTCCTACTGCATTGATGAAGCGCCTAAATGCATTTTTTTTCCTTCTCTTCAGGTGGCGTCGGTGGGACTGGCGGCTACCTCTTCGGGTGAACCTCAAGGAAAATACCAAAGTCTTTCAGTGTGAATGCGACTCGGCGTGACTGAAACTTGCGAACATGGATCTCCTCAATGAACAATGGCAATAAAATCGCGAGTGTGAAAGGACACACGATATGGCATTTTATTCTTCCCGAGTTGATAAAGAGACGAAAAAGCATCTTCCCGGTATAGGGAGACGCTGAAGTAAACAGGAGACAACCACCGATCGCGATCTAACAGATTCGACGCCATACCACAAAATACCCACCCGCCATCACCCTTAATACCAACGAAAAACCTCCATCCTGGTCTCCGAAGGTCCGCCTCCATTGAGGCTGAACTCTCGTCTCCTGCCGAATGCTCGAAGAGACCTCAATCCTCGGAATCCAACAACCTCAACCGGTTGTAGTACTCCGAAGCATCCAACCTCAACCCGGTTTTCCCTTCTCGATTCCCCGGCAACATCCCCACGGAGGTCCGACTAGGACCTGATAGACCGGGAATCGATGTCACATCGATCTATACGGGATCGAAGTTTTATCGACCCCTGGCGCGATATTCCACGGTGAATTTTTCCGGCAGTGACGAGGCTATAATGCGTTTCAAATAACGAAGTTTCTTTGTGACAACTTTCGTTAACTGTTACTCTAACAACTAACTTGCAATCATTTAGATATGAAACAAAACGTACTATTTTATCCGATTGAAATAAATACTTTCTCATTACTTTCTCGTTACCCTCTGTTACCATATATTTACCCTCACGTTACAGGTACTTATTTGTTCTCATGTTGTTACATTCTCGTTATAATGCGGGTACTTTCGTTGCCATTCATTTTTCTCGTTACCATGTCGTTCCTTAATAGTAACCATGTCACTCGTTACTACGTCTTTACTTAATCGTTGCATAATAGTTACTTTGTCGTAACCTACTTCTTCCCTAGCCGTTACTCAGTTATTACTTGTTGTTACTTAATCGTTACTTAACCATTGCATGAACGTAACATAAGTGTTACCGTGTCGTTACTTTCTCGTTACCAAGTCATTAATTTCTCACTATATTCTCTTCATTTTCTCTTGCTACATTTTCAAAAATAAATGGCAATGCTCTGTTAAACAGACACGCACTTTGCGAACGGGAAAAGTTTGCCAGAGACAGACTGAGACTTTTCTTTGTTCTCGTGGCGAGCTCCCTTGACGTTAACTAAACTTTAACTCTATAGGATATGTTTTAAGCATCAATGAGCGTGACTCATCATCAGAATACAATGCCATTTTTTGTTGATGCAACGGGAAAATAACTAGCAACGTTTTTCGAGGAAGTAACCTGTGACTGCAAAAGTTACTTTTTGCAAAAAGTAAATGTATCAGGAACAAGTCACTTTTGGCAAGTTACTTTCGATCAGTTACTTCCCCCATCGCTGCTTTACGGATGGCGGAAGCTTCAGGAAGTTCTGCGATTCCGCGATCACGTGCTCGCGTTTCATTTTGGTGGGAGAACCGCCTCTCAAATTTTGGACCCCAAAATAATTTAAGAACAGACTACTATGGTTCTGCTGCACAAAAACAGGGAGATAAATCGGGAAACCCTTCCCAGAAGGGTATCTCACCCTGCGAATTTTTAGCTCATGAGGTGTCTCAGGCAAATTTGACCATTTCTCCAATCTCGATTACTTAGAACGAATGGCCACATTTTCTGTGCCGGAGTTGCTGTCGTCAGACCAGCCTGTAATAATAAATCTCTAAGCGTTAATTATTCCCACGAACTCCATGATATGAAATTTTACTGGGTTATTTAAAGCACCAGGTGACTCGGAACCAAAGCGTTCCTTTTTCCTCACTTTTTTCGTCCTGGCAGTTTCCAGCTCGGCTAGTTGCAGCTCCTCTTGCATCAGCGCTTCCAACTTATTCTAGCGGTTCTTCTGAGAATGGCAATAGAGTAGAGAGTGCAGGGTGTGGCAGGCCGTCGTCCTTTGACAGGACTAGATTATTTCCGCCTCATGCCAGGCGTACTCTTGAAGTGCCGCATCTGGCATATAACATTAATACTCTTCAACTTAAGCACAAATGGGACGCGCGGAAAACCATTCGGAACGCTGTTCAGTTATCCTGGGACTATTCACGTACGGTATTACGTAACAATGACGGTACTTTACTTTCAAAGTTAAATGGGTAGGACACGGCTAGGGAAGGTGAATCCAGCGGTATATGAGCACATGGAAATAGCAGATCTGCTCCTGGGCAGGTATTCCAGTTATCTTATCTTAGTGATTATTTCCGGTATCAGTGGGTTCTTTCGAAACTTGAATTTTTTGTTGAAGTCAAAAAATAAATGCAGACTGACTATAGGATACATAAGCATAATACAGGAAGGGACAAAAATGACGATCGCGAATGTATTCATACATGCAGACAAATGTATTTTTTTGTAGAGTGCATCCCTAGTATTGGAGGGGCTTCAACATGAAAAGTGTTTAAGAAGAAATCCCAACTGTTTTCCTTCATGCGAGCCAAACTGGGAAGCTAAATTATTGATAATCATAGAACATATACAGCGAATTGGAAAACAACGCCCCCAAAAGCTATGCCAGGAGGGGATGCACCATGATAGCTGAATATTCTCTCAATTTAATAATAATAAAATAATGTCACTTATACATGTGCCAAGTTTCACCTTTCCATTTCTGTCCAATTCGCCACGAAAAATTTATTTAAATATCGCCCCTCGAAATAAATTCCCCCAGGGGATGCATCGAGACTTAACATTTTCCTTTAACTCCATGTCTCAGTAGTCACATTCATGCAAAGTTTCAGCATTCCATGTTTATCAGTTTAACTGATGCAAAGAAATATTTGAAAACGTCTCCCTTTGAAAGTTGTGCCCCCAGAGTATCCACTTTCTACCACCACAGCATCCCGGTAGGTAATTATGTACCAAGTTTCATCTTTCCACACTAGCTCTATACACCAGGACAAAAAAAATACTTGAAATCGTCGGTCCAAAAAATATGCCCCCAGGGCATGGATCTAAAATTTTGCATTCCTCCTGAACGCATCGTGTCAGTAGGAACGTCCATGCCACATTTCAGCTTTCCATGTCTCTCCGTTTTATTGAAGCAGTGGGACATGGAAGGCAAGAGAAATGAAAAAAAAGGCATGGAATGGTTAGGAATTGAACCCAGACCTCACGATTATCGGTCCGATGTGCTACCACTACACCAGCGAAACGGTGACATGCAAGGGGTTCTTTCGATGACATCCTTATCCATCACGATATATATTTTTAAAAAAACTTCTCCCCCCAAAATGTCCAGGAATCTGATCACGACGTAATCGTCATAGGTGGGCTGCTTCTTCTTGAAAGTAAACTACATTGATGANAGTCGGAGTTTTTCTGAACTCTGCACCCCAAAAGGTACATGTGTACCAAGTTTCAGATTTCTAACCTTTCTGGAACATGGTTAGAATTAGCGTCACTCAGTCAGTCAGTCAGTCACAATCGTCTATATATACTAGAGGAACCTCGTATCGATCGGTTCTTTCTGCTGCTTCTCATCAATGTAGTTTACTTTCAAGAAGAAGCAGCCCACCTATGACGATTACGTCGTGATCAGATTCCTGGACATTTTCCAATCTCTCGTATGATCCACCATAGAAGCGACATTTCACCAACTGCTTCACGCTTCCGCTGTACACAATGAACATGGGCTCTCCACGTTTCTTCCCAAAGTCGAAAAGGAAAGAGACAATTGATGAGTGAGAGTTCCTACTTAATGGTTGGACTACTTGTGTCGATGCTTCTCTATCTGGGAACGTTTCCGAGATAAACTTCTTTGAGTTCCTCAACCATTCTCGACCGCTACTTTTTTCCACCACTCTTTCAATCATCTCTTGAACCAATTTCTCAGCCAAATCTTTAACATGAGTGACACTTTGTTCAACTACTGATTCAGCCAAATTAGCAAGTAATGTTTCAATGAATTCTAGAACCTCTCCTTTTAGAATATTTGCAGCCCCGAAGCACTTACTTGATGCACTTGCCATTATAGTCAGACACACGTTGAACACATCCAAGGAATAGCTGGGCACAACTGCACAATCCCTGAGAAACCAAAGTCAATATTCGAGTATAAAATGATACAATATTTGTTTAAAGTATGAGTACATAATAATAGCCTGTGTCATCAATATAAATTATCCCCAGAAAGTCTCCATATCGGCTTAATAAGTACGACAGAGCTCCTCCTCATCGCAAGTTCGACACTTATACGCCATCAAATCTAGGGAGGAAATATTATGGTATTTTAGTATCATGGTATTTCATAGTGCCTAAATCGGTGCTTTAGGAGGTGCTAGCCATAATGGCTAAAATAACTGATGAACAATACCCAGGGAGCAGCAAGGCTGAACAGCAAGAGGCAGCGAATGCTGAGCTCATGAATAGGAGAGCCATGCAGCATGCTGGGCAACTTGATGCAAGGAACGCAGCAATCAGGTGTCGAAAGCCGGTGGACGGCCGGGAATTGAACCCGGACCTCTTGCTTGCCGGTCTGGTGTGCTACCATTACAGCACGGAACTCGGGACATTTTGCCAGGCCTCTCCATGTCATCTCAAATCGCTACAGTCGTTTGCGCAGCGAACACTACCAGGCTGTACATTTTGCTGTAAGGAGGGGACATTTGTTTCACATTGCTGCCACAACGGAAAGGGCTTCTGCTGCAACTCACACTTAACGCTCACACTGTTGTTCACAACTGCTAATGTGGAGGCGAAGCATTTTTAGGAATTATTCGTTAATATTCTGCTGCACATGCGCTAAATTCCCTCTGTGCTGAAGTCGAACAAGTTCTTGGAAATGACCGGTACTGTTTCAGAATCAGTTGTACCTGTACCATAAGCGAATGCTAATAACCCATGAGCTAATCGGTGATGCTAAGAGTATTCAATGTGCTGAGAAGAAGTTGTACATTTGCAGTACAGATGGAGTACATTTTTCGAAAGAGGGAGCTGTAGCAGTCGGATTGG